AGTTTTTGTTTCTGTTTCGTTGCAGGTCAGAGGCCATTGACGTGACCATCCGGGAAGAGAGGAAACGTTGGGGAAAACAGGTTCCAGGAACGATACGTGAGTATCCTTATATTGAGCATTTTAGAAACCATGTAATGATATAATATTCATATCAGGCGGGACAAGTAATCAAATGACGACATCAAGATTCCATATGTGAGGAAAAAACAATCAAATGAAGCTTATCTTTATAAAGCCCCCGCTCCCCTAATTATAGACTGCCAACAGCAGCCCTTCGCCAGTGCCAGAAGAATCAAAGAGCGCATCCTGAAACCACCGTATCAGGAGTTCCAGATATCATTTTCATTTCACGATTCCGAGCCATGGGAGGCGTTCAGTTTAAACCACAAGATAGGCCCAAATTGGCGCACTCAAGACTACCCGGGTTACCAAGGAAAGTTCCATAAAGCCGCTGATATGAGCCGTGTTAAAGTTGGTTTTTTTTTTTTTTCTATTTTCAGGTACTGGGTGGCGTCAGAGGCAGGAGGAGCGTAAAGAGGACGACGCACTAGGATGCTACGGGATTTTCAGTCGGAGAGTCCGGGATTTCTATAATAGTGAGAGGGATGGAATTTTCCCAACCTGGTATGTTTTCATCAGGGAAAATTAGTTGTCGGACAGAGGGGGGTTGACCAATAACAAACTTTAGGGCCCGTTCACGAGTAATTTCCTCATGCACCAAGGATCTTCTCACCCAATTTATCACCCTCTCACTGAGCCGGGCAACCCCTTTGCTGGATGAACTCGGGTGGACATATCTCCTCTTAATAGGAGCGCGTCCAGCAGACTCGTCTTCTTCTTTAATTTCAAGGCGGAGGAGAGTTGGGATATTACATCCTTTGGAGATCGTTCGTGTATTGACCATATCCTTGAAATTTTTATAGTAGCACTCTAGTTGTTTCATATATCTCTTTCTAGAGTTGCAAGTTCTCACTAGCAACGCAGGATGTAGACCGAGGTGCTGGACTACAGGGTTTGAGTGTTGCGCCAACGTAGTGCAAAGTCGCAAACTGTGGGCCTGAAATATGTCCTCAAGGGTTTTAATGTCAAACTTACTAAAAATGTCCGCATTCTTAGTATGTCTCTCCTGACAAAGCGCACGTCGGATGACCGCATTAGTCGCGGATTGAACTTTATTGACTGCCGAGTCTGAGGCCAGAGAGGCCCAGACTGGGATGGCATACTGCCATAAGGGAATTATTAGCTGCTTTATAAGGGTAGCTTTTGTCCGTCTCGGCAGTGGGCTGTGCTGACCAATAAGCCACTCAAGCTTTCTCGCCCTAGCGCGGGTTTTAATACATAGGTGGGTTGAATGCCGATTCATGTTCAGTTTCCTATCCAATATGACTCCCAGGTAGTTGTAGTGGCTTCCGAAAGGGATGACTTGCCCATCCAGGAGGAGCTGACTTGGCTTGTTAGAGGGACAAACTCCAAGGGAGAAACAGACGAGGGCACATTTCTTAACGTTGAAAGAAAGACCCCACTTTTTGGCCCATGAGGATACCGCATCTAAATAGGCCTGCATGGAAAGAGTGGCACCACTGGTTAGCTTGTGTGAGAAAAGGACAGCCGTGTCATCCGCATAAGTGGCCAAGAGTACCTTGCCGGGACAGTGCAAGTGGTTTTTGGCAATGCTGGGGACGACGTCAGGAAGTGGCATGTCAGAGGTGTATATGGAGTATAGAAATGGTCCTAAGATACTGCCCTGAGGCACTCCAGCATTTATATTCCCAATTCTGGATCTAATCCCATTTGGACCCTTAACGTTAAATTTTCTGTTTCGCAGGTAACTGGTCAGGACTTTGAGAAGCTGTGGCGGGAGGATTTTAGAGAGTTTTAGGAGCAGCCCATCATGCCAAACTCTGTCGAAAGCCTGAGAAAAATCCAGGAAGATGGCGGAACAAGACTCTTTTTCCTCAAAGGCTTTGATGATGTGCTGAGTGACTCGAAAAACTTGTTGTTCAGAGCTATGGTCCTGACGGAATCCAAATTGGTGATCCGGGATGGCCTCTTCAAATGGCTTATGTAGGAAGAGCTTCTGCAGGAGAAGCCTTTCGAATAGTTTGCCAAAACCAGAAAGTAGGCTGATGGGTCTGTAGGAGTCGGCATTATGAAAAGGTTTCCCTGCTTTGTGGATCATTGTAATAGTTGCCGACTTCCATTGTTGGGGAAAATGGCCAAGGCGTAAGATGCTGTTAAAAATTAGCAGGAGAAACAGAATAGCTTTTTTTGGGAGGAGCTTTATCAGGGTATTCGAGATTCTATCACCACCAGGAGATTTACCCACTGCGAGCAGCTTAATTTGGGCAGTTAACTCCTCGAGGCGAAAGAAGACGGAGCCCGAATCCTGTGCTGGTAAGTTGTTCATCGTACACCGAAGTTTGTCACTAATTTCTTCTTTTTCTGTTAGTGTTTTATACGGCCAAACGGAAAAACGTTCCTCCAGATGATCAACAAAAGCGTCCGCCTTCTCCTGAGGGGTCCTGGTCCAATCCGGTTGGATCTTCATCTCTCCACCAGAGCGGTCAATTTTAAGTGGGTAATCCGGCTGAGGCTGATTTTTAAGGGATCTTGTGATCTTCCAAATTTTTGCCATATTATATCGGTCCTCTGTGTTAAGTGCAGCTAGCTTGTCAGTAAATTTTTTCGATTTTATTCTTTTCAACGCTTTCTTTAGTTTGTTTCTAGCTCTACTGTATTTGGCTTTAGTGTGGACCGATGGGTTATTTTTATACTCCAAATCCCGAAACTGGACATTTCTTAGAAGGAGGCGGGTATGATTGTCCAATTTAGGACGCGGACCTTGATTTCTCAGCCTAGAGGTGGCTCTCACAGGAGCAGATGTTGTTGAAAGGGCCCCCTTGATGTTTGCAGAGAGGATGTCAACGGCATCCTCAATATCCATGCCTGTATAAATTTCAGTATTTAAAAGGATTTTTCTATCCAAGGTGTCTTGGAAGATTTTTATATCCTCCCGACTCCTTGGCGGAAAGAGGGGCCAGGAAATAGGTGGATCAGTCGCCTGAGGCAATAAGGCTGATTTGCCTAGGGACGCCCTTATAATTAAGGGGAGGTGGTCCGAGGACAATTGATTGCTAGCCGAGATGGAGAGATGGGAAGGAAGGAAGCCAGAGGAGATCGCGAAATCAATCGATGAGGGATTTGAATTTTTATTATGTGGGAAATAGGTGGCTCCTCCGGTGGCCAGGATGTTGTATCTAGGCTTGCTTAAAATTGCTTCCATCAAAGCTTTGCCTCTTTTACAGCTTCTAGAGCTGCCCCACAACTGGCATTTGGCATTCCAATCACCCGCGACCAGGAATCTTGGACTTTGGAGCGGGCAGAGCTTGTCCATATTTTTAAAGAAATCCTTAAAATTATCAGCCGACCATTTAAAGGATGGAGGGCAATAGATTGAAGCAAAGACGATACCGGACAAAAGGACTGGGCAACATTGATAAGTGTCGTTTGAGATGGGGTCAAGAGGCGAGTGAGGTATCCCGGTACGAATAAGGAGAGCAGCTCCTCCTCTCCTAGATGAATGAGGGTTTATGGCTAAGTAGCTGTGGTAGCCAGGGATATTGATGGATAAGGATTTCAATTCATTAACCATCATAACGTCGATTTTATTGGAGACCAGGAAAACCTCAAGCTCGGCCAACTTATTTGAGACCCCGCCAGCATTCCATGAGCCAATCCTTAGGTCTCGTTTAAAGATACATTGATGGGGGAGGACAGGACAGACACTTACAAGATTTATACATAAGAACATTCATTGTCGTCGAGTAACCTTTGGAGCGAATCATTGCTCGCCGAGTCCATTTCAATAAGATAGTCCAAATTGGTGGCGTTGTCATTGTTATTATTATTAAAAGATAGATCCGTCACGTCCAGAATGTTGTTAATTTTATTAAACATAGCAAAAATCCTATCTAGTTTATCTTCAATGTTTTTGAGTCTGTCAAGTGTCCTGTTATTGTCCTCCTCCAACCCATCCGATAATTTTTTAAAAATACTTTGCCAATTGTCATTATTTTTGATTTCCCGTTCCTTAAAAGCTTCCAACTTCCGATTATGTCCCATATCTATCCTTCCCGTTTGATCCGCCGAGGCAATCTTGGCCCTGAACCGGATGAGATGTGCTTCGGCGGGATTTTTCTTGGGCTTCCAAGATCCCCGCTTGGCCGACCTTTCAGGCTGGGGCTTGTCCTTAGGACGAGAGGTCTTATGGAAGGGGTTTTTAGCTTGCGGTGGAGGGGAGATGGTATTAACCTCCTGATCCAGGATGCCCCAGTAATTTTCATTATTTCTTTTTGAGACCTTCCTATTCCCAGTCCCGACAGGCTGCCTAGAGGAGGCTCTATCGCGCAAGCTTTGCTGGCGATCTCTATTGATTTCGGCTGAGGCCTGTCGGGATAGCCTAAATCTGTAGTCCTTGTAAGCCCTACAGCCTCTATAGGAGCTTACGTGTGGGCCCCCACAATTGCAGCAGCGAGGTGGCAAATGGCGCGGCTTGTTGCAAGCCGTTGACGGGTGCCGTCCGGCGCATTTGACACAAGCAAATGAACGCCTGCAATTGTGTTTTGTGTGCCCAAACTTTTGGCACCTATGGCACTGCGGGATTACCGGAGGATTGTTGGGGGCCACCCGAGGTGGAGCCAAGGGGGAGGCCAATGAAGCAGCGGCATCAGATTGCTTCTTTCTTTTTTCTTTGTGGAGCCTTCGAGCAAAGGTACTTTTGAAGGCCGGAGACTCAAGAGGCGGGAAATCAAGATCAAAATCACACAATTTAGGATTAGGCTTAATCTGCTCTTTTTTTGTTTGGGCATGGGCCTGAGCCTGGGCCCTTGTGCAGATAATCCTATTAATGGTGTTTGGCGATGTGTGCACAAGCACATTGGAGGTCCCAATCAATGGGCCAGGATCGGGCAGGCTAACCTCACTGGGAGCTATTTCGGGAGCTATTTCGGGCAAGTAGATGGCAAGGGAGTGGCAGGTTTGGTGGGGTTGGAGGGTTTGGCATGATTTGCTGTGGCAAAGTTGTTTAATTCTGAGAAAAAGTTCCGGAGAAGTTGCACCGACTGTATTTTGACTTTAGTTCCATCCGAGACTCCCATGGCACCCGTCTCATTATGGGCATTGGGTATGTTGTTTGAATTAATATCTACATGAGTGATTCTGTTATTAAGATTTAATGGGCTGTTAACTACATTTTCATTAGACTTAGCATTATTGTTCTGAGAGTTAACAGAAATAGTTGAATTTGCAGTGAGGGCACTGTTAACAGGTGAGTGGAGGCTAGGGGGGCTGCGAATTGGAGTATCCTTATCGTTATTGGTTTTTGCAGGGGCCTCATCCAGGAGTAGCCTTTTCTCTGGGCTAAAGGCATTTGAAGGAGATAAGGAACGGAGGCGTTTTATGATACCCAAACTTTTATAGCATGCACTGGCGTTCATTTTCGTCACCAAACTAACGGCGCCCGTATTGGTCGTGGTGGATATAGGGCTCGCTCTTTTTTCAACAGTTAATGGTTTGAGTCCCAGCTTGGTGAAGAAAGAGGGTTTGGAAGGGGTAAGGGGGCTTATAGCCCGTTTTCCCATAAAGATATTTGGGGAATTGCTAATTAATATTTCTCCTAATCCGTACTCACCGCGGTAAGGTGAGGAGTCATCGGGCAATATGAAAGATGCCTGGGAAGAGGTGTTGGACACCTCCTTGTCAGATCCCACTATAATGGCGTCCATTTCTTTTCCTATGGTTTATGTCGTTCTTCGCCGTTAATTATCCTGTAATTCTCCTTGCTCCGTTGCAGATTTCCCGTTGCTGGATGATGGTTTTTTTTTTTATTTTTAATTTATAGATTTGTGGCTGGTAAAATTTTTATAGATGATTACACGAAAACAGCAAATTTTTTAATTTTAAGTGTTTGTCTTTTTTAAATAGTGTTTTATTTGGTTTTGAGTTTTGGCTTTGACAGATTAGATTTTATTTTTTTTTTTTTTTTTTTTAATTAATTTTATTATTTCATATTTAGTTTTACAATGTTTTGTGTTTGTGTACATGAATTTGTGTAAATTAAGTGCCAGTCATTGCTTTAAAGTATATATCACAGTTAAATAGATAAGTTAATAAATATAAAACATGAAGAAATCGACTTTACATTCAAATGGCACTAAATATATAATACATCAAGAATTTAAAATTAAACACAAAAGTTTATCCAGGAAGAAAACGCTGCGAAAAAGCGCTTGGCCAGGGACGAAGAGAGAGTCAGGAATCCTGGCGTATTACCCCAAGGGCAACTTTTGCGCCAAGATTCCCCACTGTTCATGGCGGGAAAGCGCACATCACCGCAGGCTGGTCACATTGCAGGGCTGATTGTTTCCCATCCCTGGTCGCCGATAACATGGCAGCAATCGGTGCAAGTCCATCGCTGACTTAAAAATACTTAAAAGCTAACATGACGAAAGTTGGATAAAAAACTGCAAGTATAAATACATGGACATTAATAAAAGTAAGTAAACAAAGAAAATAAATATTTCAGGTAACATGGAGAAGAGCAGAAGAACATGGACTAGGGCGCGTCGATGGACAAAGTGGCAGGTAAGTGTTTGTTTACATTCTTCTTCTTCTTTCTTTGCTTATATATTTTCTCTTTTCAGGTGGTTGCAGTTCCGGGAACAAATCCAATTGGAGTGGTAAATGGTGACGACAGGTAGGTATTAGGGCGATCCATGGCAGGTTTGTCCATTAATATAGATTATTTCCAGGAAGACATCAAAAAGCGGCGCAGAAAAATAGCCGCTTGCAGTGGCCGATAGGGGCCATTTCTTGGGAGCTGGAAAAGTACCATGTCGACGTTGGAGACATAAAATAACTGGTGCAGCACCATCTCAGAGGGCCCCAGGGAAGGATCCAGGCGAAGAAATCCGAAGAACATGAAGGACGGATGCAGGAACAATGACATCGAAATGGACAAAATGGCTTGGATGAGGACGGACGAGGAAGGCTCCAAAAACATGAAAAATGACATCGGAAGGGACAGGAATCAGGTCAAGAGCTCAGCAGGTAAGTGTCCTTAGTCATTAGTCAATATGATAAATTCCAATAAGTCCAAAGTAAATTTTCCAGGAAGCCGTCGTCCAAATAAATACGTCAAGAGGTCCAGAGGGGTAAAAAGTCATCCAGCGAAGTAATCCTTGTCATAAAATATCACAGCAAATTATCACAGGTTGGTTTCCATAGCAGGTTAACTCCGTTGTCCAAATTCACCCGGGAGGAGATCGTCGGGAAGAAGGTCCAGAAAGTTAGTCAAGTTGGCTTCGCAGGACGACAAGGATACATAGAAGGAAGTTTAAAGTGGCAGTATAGATGAGGGAAGTTCCATGCTCGTCGATAAGGATTCCTTTTAATGATTCTTTCCCCTTTTTCTTTTATTTTCAGGTACATGAGGGACGGTCAAGAATAAATAAAATACATCGAGACAGGCAGGGACAAAGAACAGGAACATGACGGTAAGTAAAAAATATATCTATTGCAATAACTCTGATAATATTGTCTATAAGCATTCAGGAGTTCAATAATTAATACAAATTATTTTAAAATCGTCCAGAAAATTTCGGCAGGAAATTTCGGAAAATCGGCAGGTAAGTGTTTGTTTACATTCTTCTTCTTCTTTCTTTGCTTATATATTTTCTCTTTTCAGGTGGTTGCCGTTCCGGGAACAAATCCAATTGGGGTGGTAAATGGTGACGACAGGTAGGTATTAGGGCGATCCATGGCAGGTTTGTCCATTAATATAGATTATTTCCAGGAAGACATCAAAAAGCGGCGCAGAAAAATAGCCACTTGCAGTGGCCGATAAGGGCCATTTCTTGGGAGCTGGAAAAGTACCATGTCGATGTTGGAGACATAGAATAACTGGTGCAGCGCCATATCAGAGGGCCCCAGGGAAGGATCCAGGCGAAGAAATCCGAAGAACATGAAGGACGGATGCAGGAACAAGGACGTCGAAATGGACAAAATGGCTTGGATAAGGACGGACGAGGAAGGCTCCAAAAACATGAAAAATGACATCGGAAGGGACAGGAATCAGGTCAAGAGCTCAGCAGGTAAGTGTCCTTAGTCATTAGTCATTATGATAAATTCCAATAAGTCCAAAGTAAATTTTCCAGGAAGCCGTCGTCCAAATAAATACGTCAAGAGGTCCAGAGGGGTAAAAAGTCATCCAGCAAAGTAATCCTTATCCTAAAATATCACAGCAAATTATCACAGGTTGGTTTCCATAGCAGGTTAACTCCGTTGTCCAAATTCACCCAGGAGGAGATCGCCGGGAAGAAGGTCCAGAAAGTTAGTCAAGTTGGCTTCGCAGGACGACAGGGATACATAGAAGGAAGTTTAAAGTGGCAGTATAGATGAGGGAAGTTCCATGCTCGTCGATAAGGATTCCTTTTAATGATTCTTTCCCCTTTTTCTTTTATTTTCAGGTACATGAGGGACAGTCAAGAATAAATAAAATACATCAAGACAGGCAGGAACAAAGAACAGGAACATGACGGTAAGTAAAAAATATCTATTGCAATAACTCTGATAATATTGTCTATAAGCATTCAGGAGTTCAATAATTAATACAAATTATTTTAAAATCGTCCAGAAAATTTGCGGAAATGGCGTCGCAGGCTGTCAGGTAAGTAAAATAATTATTCTAGAGTAATGCACAGTATTTGATCTATGTTCCTTTTTTTTTTTTGATCTAGGAAATAAAAAACATGGAAAAGGAGGAATTAACAGCGGACCAGATCCCCGGCCAAAAGGAGATCCATAAAGCTATCATCCTCACAGAGGAGGTGGCCATCTCCTAGCTCAGCCTCCATTTCTTTGCGCGTAGTGTCATCCGCACTAAGGTCAAGAGATTTCGACACTCTTTCAAAGGCCGCAATTAATTTGTCCATCTTCTTCTCCAGGTTCTCTAATTTGGCCTTGACTTCTTTTTGGAAGGCGTCGTCGAGTTTCCGTCGCTGGACATCACGGGGCGAGGATAACAATGAAGGACCAACAAGGCAACTCAGGTTCGTTAACTGGTTATGATTTTGACGTACATTGGACACTAAATTACTCCTCTTTTCCAAAGGACGATTGTGCTGCTGTCGACGTTGGGATTGAAGGTGAAGGTGACGCTGCTGTTTCTGCCGCTGCCGCCCATGAGCAGGACGCGCCCCCCCCTGACGCTTGCCCATAGATCCCAGGTCGCGCTTTTTCAAATCCTGGTAGATGGGGCATCCTCTGTAGGAGCTTATATGCGGGCCGTGGCAGTTGCAGCAGCGGGCCGGACTGCTCCTTGGTTTTGTGCAGGCCGACGTCGGGTGAGCCCCGGCACACTTCATGCTTCGGTGTGTGCCTTTCAGGGTCACAACTATGACTGATTTGCCGCTGCCAGAGCGGTTAGTCAGTTTATTTATTTACGTGACTATTGAACTCTTTACATGTCAAAGCCTTAAGTAAATATACATGTAAGGGCCGATTTCCGGCAGGGACCATAACATAGCTGGTTTTACATTGGGGCTTACATACGAAGTTTTAGAGGCATTTTGAATTTAAATACAGGTGAGATTGGCAGTCTGATTTTGATCAGCTGCTATTTTGATATAAAGAAGAGGAAAACAGAGATTTTAAGCAATTTGTGTATCAAAATATGTAAGTTAATAGTAGGATTGATAATAATTTGAGTAGGAGTTTGCGATTTAGAGTTCTAATTTGATTTAGCCTTATATGTTAATTTAGGTTTTAGTAGATTTAATTTAATATAAATGAAATAGCTTAATTTAGTTTTGTTTATTTTTAGGAGGCAAGCTGTCCATCCTGTCGTTGTATTAGTGGCGAAATCTGAGATCTGACTGCACGCTTGAGGTGGTAGAATCGGAGCACATAATTGGTTCGTCTGGAGGGTATATTTCCTCTTCGGAGAGCCGGAGTAGTGATATTCAGGGAAGGGCGAACATTCTGCTGCTTCCATCCTATAGCGGGGTGTAGTACATTTGATGGAGACGAACGTAGCTGCCTGGTTGCTGACTTCGGCCTGGTGGCCAATGCAGGATCAGCATGACCAGGAAATTGGACTTCGAGGTGGTGAGCCGGTGCGTAGTGGCGGATTTGTTGCCCTCAAGCGGCGTGTGCGTTGCCCTCAGCCAGTCTGGATCTGGATCGACATGGTGACATCTGTAAGATAAGAATGGGTGAGTTTGTAGGGAGGGTATAGGTCTTCTGCCTTCCCTACGACATATCAGTGCCATGGTTTGAATCATCATTTGTCTATTTGCAGGTGTGAATTGGAATTATGGCTTCATGCCTGTTTCCAGTTTGGATTTAGTTAGAACGCCGTGAGTGTGGCCATTTCAGGGTATTTCGGATTAGTTCGCCTCCGTCTGAGTATCCTGAGAGTATGGCTGCTGGACCAGACATCAGGCGTTTTGATGCTGCTTCTATTCTGCAGGGTATAGAGCCAACCAGTTGAGGACCTATGTAAATGCCTGGGCGCTGTTTTCAGCCTGTTGGCCAAAGCAGAGTCAGCGTCACCAGGTGATTTGGTTTCGAGGTGAGAAGCCGGAGCGTTTTTGGCGAATTAGTTGCTGCCGCCAGCTAGAACTTGAACTGGTGCTGGGTAAGGATGATCATACTAAAACGTCAGAGCTCTGATTTAATTTGGTGTTATTTTGTTTTAGGAGGCCATCTGTCCACCGTGGCATTATATTGTGGCATAAAACTGTATCTGGCAGTGGGAGCCGGAGTAGTGATTATCAGGCAGTGTGCGATCATTCCGCTGCCTCCATCCATGTATCGAGGTGTAGTGCATTTGGTGAAGATTCGAGCATAACTGCCTGGCAGCTGATGTCGGCCTGGTGGCCAAGACAGGGTCTGCATAACCAGGAGGTTGGGCTTCGAGGTGGAGAGCCAGTGCGATGTGGCGGATTTG